AATTATTGATTTGATGACTAATTGATGAGTGGATGTCCAACTCTTGACTTGGTGACAATCTTTATCTTATCTTGTCTGCCCATAACATCATTGATAACATTAGATTTTGAACCATATCTTCACATAAAAGTTGTAGGAAATTATCTCAGCTTTCTAGCTAAGAAATAGAGATCATTTGGACTGTTAGAACTCTAGATATGGGTTGAACACTTAACAGTGTCTAGGTTGTAGGTGTTGCGATGTTATGGTCACATAAATTAATTACCCTAGCTTAAAACACAACACACAAGATAGTATAGAGTAAGCAAGGGGTCGATCTCACAGGAAAGATTTAGTTCAGATTTTTATGCTATACGTTATGCAATTGGGGGGTTTTGATTTGTGATGATCTAAACTATGAAAGAAATTAAACTAGCAAATAAAATCAATTGAAATCAAAATTTATAAAGAAAACAAACCTTGGTTGCAAGCACACATCCATCAACGAAAATTTAAACCAATCATTGAAACTAAAATTGCAGTTTATGTTCTGAAATTTTATCTTTTCTTAACGTTGATTAATTAACGAATCTGTCATATAACTAATCCTAACCAAAAAACAATCAAAGTATTCACACTATGATTCAATTTAATGGCAGCTTTAAGAACTAGATTATTTCATCAAGATTAACATATAAGTTGTCCACAACTTGTGTCACTTTATTCAAATGTTCTCCCTAAGTTCAATAACATAGTTCCACCACAATTATCAAGTTTAGTTGTTTTACAAGTTCATATATCACAACTCCGGTTTTTATATTAAACTTAGCGATAGATTGTTTACAACAATAACTTAGAGTCCGCTCTAGCAATCATCAACAACAATCATAGGAAATATGCATAGAAAAACGATCATACTCATTTATAACATGAACCAAAAATAAAAGGAAGAATAAATCTCACGATTTTTGAAATCCAAAGGTTTGTTGTGTCCTTGCAACCAAGAATAGAGCTTAGCCTTGCATAACTATTGAACAACTACTTCTAAAGAATGAAGAATGTATAATTTTTAATTTCTTAGAGGAGAGGGGGGCGTTTTTCTCCTCTTAGGTGGCTGCCCCCCTTCTCTTCTCTCATTCTTTCTATATCATAGGAAACCCTAGTCTCTATTTTACAATATAGTCCTCTTTTAAGTTGAGAGCATGATTTTTAGGTTTGTAGAGGAGGGAATTTGTGTTTCTTAACTTCTGGTTGTTGCCCCCTTTCTCTCCCCTCTCTCTTTCTTTTTATATGCTAAGAAACTCTAGTTTCTATTTTACAAAGTAGTCTTCCCTTAAGTTGATAGTTTACATTTAAGTACTTCAATAACTATTTTTCCTAAATAGAAGAAATAGCCTTGCATGAAATCTTGAAGCTCTAACTTAGAAGAGCTAAATTGCTGATATAAAAAACTTGGATGTTGGTTTAGAAGCTTCAGAATGTAATTTGGACTCCTTTATTCACGAAACCTGTTTGTTGACAAAATTTAGTTGCCATCTTTAAAAAATCATACCTCCCTTATATGAAATATTTTAAGGCTAAAATTTAGAGTATTTATAGAAATTTCAGTCCAAAATCCAAAAAAACTGAGTTTGCATCAATTGGACTTTAGTAGCTCCAGATATTCAAGTTTTAATGGACAAAGGTCAACATTGGCAGATTGAGAGATTTGATTTTGAAAGCTGCGATTTCCATGCTCTTCTTCATTTAATTTTCTTGCCTTAGATGCAAAAAAAAAGGTATGGATATTAAATTTTTAATTCCACTAGAATAACTTCATTTTAATCTCTAGAACTTATGCTCTGCATAAAATATCGACTGAACATCATACCGGCCAATTATCTCCAATTTACTCCTTTTTGCATCTTTCATCCAAAAGTGCCTTCAAAACATCAAACAAAGAATGTCAAGGCATTTTAAATATAAAAAATGGATAAAACATTAGGTAGATGTGGGTGAAACTATCAAATAATATAGTTACATTAGTAGGACATATTCAAACTTTTTCATTGTTGCTACAATTTGGACTTAAAAACGACCTTATTAAACCTAGACCTCCACATAAAAGTTGTAAGCCTATGTCTTATGTTTCCATCCATATGAAGTAGATCTAAATCCGATTTCTACAGCTCCAGATATGATCCAATTACTAAACAGTGTTCCAGTTTGGACTACACCAACATCTTTTTTCTAAGTTTGGTCATCTCTTTGTTCATTCAATTTTAGTACTTAAACTCATCAATCAATCCTTTAAGATAAACATTTATGACAAATTAAAGGTATCTTACATCATTAGATATGTTATTATAAAACATGCTTTAGTTAAGGAGTTATTGATACTTTAAGTGTAAAATGCTGATATAAAACCTTGATAAAAATACACTTTTAAGTACTAATCAATAATCCATGAACAAATATGTATAGAATGAAAGCCTTTGGGCAAATAAATAAATATTAACAATGACAAACAAATCCAACAATAACATAAAAATCAGACAAAAACAAAGCTAGTTTACAAGGTCCCTAGTGGAGTCGTCATTTTGTCGCATGTGTGTGGCTTTGCGTCGATCATCCACTCTAAAAATATTGTATGTATAAATAGATGTATAGTCTATTCTAGCAAGACATGGAGAGATAATGAATTCTTGTCTCTTATTAGTAAAACATGGTCTAAGAATCGCCACCTAATATTCTGGTTGCTAAGAATCATAACTGGTCTTAGAGATGAGGTACGAAGATTAATTGCATAAAGGGAAGGTATTAGCACCCCAACTATGCCCTACCTAAGATAAGCTACATCGTTTTATTATCTTATGAAATCTATGGTCTCATTGTGGTTTCTAATTATTAGTCTGTCTATGGTTTAAGAAAAATCCTCCTCTATAAAGAGATCCTTATCTTATCGAGTAAAAACCTAATTATTCTATATCATAAAAAAAAAAATTAATATCAGGAATACATTACATATAAATTCGTAATCCCTAATACTAAAACAAAATAAGATAAGATTTTTGTTGTTTTTGAAATTTTGGTAATGTTCTCTTGACTTTCATAAACTGGTTATTAAAGTCAAAATTCATGCTAAAATATTTTTTTTTTGATTTATGAAAAAACATAATTTGATTTTTTTAGCTTGGAGACAATTGATTGTATACACAAAAATATTTTTTCTTTTTTTAATATTTTTTGCATTTTTAGAAGTTTTGATGAAAATCGAGTATTTTAATACCAGATTTGTATTTTTTATGAAATAAAATATACACCAATATTAAGCAGATAAAAGTAGAAAAATGCATGAAAAATTATTATTTTTCAAGCATTTTTGAAATTTTTTAATTTGGTTGGACCCGACCCAAAAGTTTTTGGTTGGGCCGAGTCTGCCCATTTAAATAGTGGGTCTCTCTACTATTCACATGCAATATGAATAATGGCAAAACCTGAAGAAGAAGAAGAAAAAAAAAGAAAGGGAAAGGGAAGAAGGCATACCCGTGGTGGTTTATAGTGCTTTTGGTGATTGTGGTGGTGGCAACAGTGTTGCTGGTGGTGGCAACAGTGTTGCTAGTGGTGGTGGCTGGGGAAACCATGGCCGGTGGTGCTCTGTTTTTTCTTTTTTCTCTCCTCTATTTTTTGCTCTTTTATTCTTTATCTTTTTTTTTTCTTTTGGTTTTTTCCCTCTATTATGCTCTCTCGCCTCTCTTCTCCTTTGTTCTTTCCTCTTGTTCTATTCCTTTTTTTCTCTATTCCCTTCCTTTATTTTTATAGGCAAAAACAGGGGAAGAGAAGTGGTTGGGGAGGCCACCCCGCTGCCACCCCTCCAACATATGGAAAGTGTGGGTTGTGTCGATGTCGTTTTAAAGGGGAGTCAGCATCTTTTTGAAGGGGAAGATGGCAATGATAGAGGAAGAAAAAATCTTTCTATTCCCCTATTTCGCACGTCTAGAGGAAGAAGAAGATCTATAGTGTCATCAAAACGGCACTGTTTTATGTTTTTGTTTTTTTTAACAGTGCATGAAATGGTGCCGTTTTAGTCAAAACGTGTTGTTTCATTTAAAAGAAAAAGACGACAAAATGTGTTAAAGTTCACATTGGTTCTCAATTTGTAATTTGTTCGATGAAGTTATAAATTGCAATTTTAATTTAAAAATAAATGTAATTGCATCCTTACCAAAAATGAAATAGTAGCTCTGAAGTTGGCCGCCTTTTTCTCTTTGGTCATTGTCTTAAAGTTATGCAATTTGACCCTCAATTGAGCAATAAACTTCTAATTTTTTTCAATTAGGCTCCTGATTCAGTTTTAATTACTGCCCCTCTATTTACATGCCTTTTCTATTTTGGTCCTTGGTTTCAGATTTCTTCAATTGAGTCCCTAATTGGCATTAAACTTTAATATTTATGCAATAAAATCCCTTATTTGATCTTAGAACTTTAATTTCTTCCAATTAAAGCTCAAATTGACTCCAAAATCATTTTTTATTGTAATCAAACTCTCCATAAATTCAATTAAAACTTCAATAAAATTTAATTGAATCCATAAACATCTAGTTTTGGCCTTTTCTTTCTCAAATTGAATTTTCTTTGTCAATAAGGCTTTTATCGGTCAATAAAATACTGTTAAATTTTAATCTTTATATTTTTTTAACCTCTTCAACTAATTTGTAACCATTTTTTAAACACACTGGCCTCCTATTTGCATTGCTCTTATTTTGTTTAATTTTTTTCAAACATATATTATTTTATTTTCTTCTTTTTCATGTGAGGGCCTAAAAATAGGTTATGACAATGGTGATAGAGGAGAATAAATCTAAAGCAGTAGCAATACGAGCCTTTCAAAGGCTATCTCATTAACAATATTGATGTAGATGATGGAGATGATGTTGTTGTTGACAAAGCCTTTTCGAGTGAATGACCTAGAAAATGATTATTTCTTCAATTTTTGGAACAAGCTGATGATTATGTGCATGCTTTGGTTAGTGATTCTTAAGCAATCTTAGGTCATTGTTTAACAAACCAGCCAAAGGATTGAACCTATTTTAGGTTGAAACTTGGTTGAAAATTATTTTTTAATATAAGTTATTTATATGAAATATTAATATGATTAAAATAAATTATAAATGAATGATAAATTATGAAATATTAATATGATTAAAATAAATTATGAATGAATGATAAATTGAATATTTGATTGATATACTTGTTGTGAAACATAAAACATTCTATCTCACATATGAAATATACAAGATTTTTGTATAGTTTATTTAATAAAAAAGTTGAAAGGTTATGAATAACCAAAGTAGATAGTATGAGTTTAATTCATAAGTGTGCACTTAACTCAGGCTCAACCCATTAGCTTGAATCAATTTTAGTCTTATATTTGAATTTATTATTATAAAATGAATCTTTGACTAATAAAAAACTATATTTATCAATCTCTTGTTTTGTTCAGTTAAACAGATGGATGAATGCGAGTATTATTTTTTTCAAAAGAGTTTTTTAAAAAAGAAAAAATAAATAGTTTTTTCAGCTAAAAAATATTAAATTTAATGCCGAAATGTTAAGGTTTAATTTTGATTTTATGATATGTAATCCAAGTGGGTAATGTTGGGAATTAATTTGGGTAATTATCAAAATTAATTACTCATTAGTTTTGGTTTCAAAATCCATTATAAAAAAGAGAGAGTGTGAAAGAAGAGTTTTCTACACCATTTTTCAAAATTTATACTCTTCTTTACATTATATTTCTAATGTTTTCTTCTCTTTTAGCTTTATTTTAAGCTTTGCAAGGTTAGGTCCATCATTGTTAAGAGACATCTCAATTACATTACCTTTGGTTCGTAGACATTATTTAGAGATTTTTAGAAGTCCACCTTAGCAATGTGGTGTTGTTGGAATCTTGAAAAGCTTATTGTAAATATCATTTACACCAAGTGATAAACAATAAAATTTTAATGATAAATGATACATCATTAACAATAACAATGCTTCATCATTTTTAAAGTACTTTAAAAAGTAAGTACTCTTCTTTGGTTTTGTTTAATATAATACATTATTATGCATACTATGATTGTTTTTCAATCTCTTAAACTTCTTTGGATATATTCTCAAAATATTTGCTACAATCTTTATATTTTTATAATATTTATAATTTTGAGATTATATATAAAATTGCATGCTTATAGTTTCAACATGTATAATTTATTTAGAATGCTTTTCTTATGATAAACTAAACATTAAAGCTCACTTGTCTAATTATTTTAGATTATAATCTTAAGGATTTATTCTTTGTTTTTTTTTTAGTTTATACATGTAATTTCACAATCTGGTATGATATATTTATTCCATTTAAAGCAATTTTTATGCATGATGCATGTCACTTTTTCCCCCCAAATATTTAAAAAATTGTTTTTGTTTAGTTTATGCTTGTTTATGCAATCTTGCGTGTATGTTTATACATATCATTTAGTTTTTATTCTAAATTATAATGATATGATGCATGTTTAAAAGAACTAAAATAATATTAAAGTATTTATTTAATCTTGTATGGTTGGAATATTTTTGTTTGTTTACTTGCTTTACATGCTTTATGTTAGATTTTTTATTTTCATGTCAGGAACCAAAACTTATTTATAAATATATGGCTATTACTTTTTTTATATAGATTTTATGATGACTTTAACTCAAGAATTGGTTGTCCCACCAACGTTGCTTCGACAAATACTACTTATGAATATTTCACAACATCTTTTATGGTACTCAATGAGAAACCTGAAAAACTCAATGGATTGAACTTTAAGAGGTGGTAGAAAAAAATTATTTCATTTGATCATCTTAAACTTAATAAATTTTTTGATTGAGGAAGCATCAAAGTTGCCGAATAATAATCTGATCTCATTAGTGTGGCAGTTATAGACACATGGATTCATAATAATTTTGTATGCAAAAACTACATTTTAAATAGAATGGACAATATATTAGATGATGTGTGTAATTCAATCAAGGTTGAAGATGCCTGTATGAAAAAAGTTCATGGTTAATAAATTTTTAAATTTTTAAATGGTTGATTTAAGGACTGTTTTGAGTGAAGTTCAAGAATTTCAGCTCATCTTGCATGATATTCATGATAAAGGTATGTTACTAAGTGAATCATTCTAGGTGGTTATAATAATTAAAACATTGTCACCATCTTGAAAGGACTTTAAGAACTATGTTAAGCATAGCATAAGCATAAGAAAATAAGAGTTGAAGATTTTATTATGAGGTTAATGATAAAAAAAAAAGGATAATAAGTTATTTGAAAAAAGAGCTAGCTTTTTCCCTTTTCTTTTGATTTCTGGCCATATGAGCCATTTTTAGATATCAAAAAATTCTAAAAAAAAATTAAGAATCTTCATTGATTTATTTATAGGTCTCTCACATTTTTGTTTTGTTTTGTTTTGTTTTGATAGCTTTTACAATATATTCAATTTGTGGACTCTTAATGT